CACAGTGCTCCATCCTCACAGTGCCCCATCCTCACAGTGCTCCATCCTCACAGTGCTCCATCCTCAGTGCTCCATCCTCACAGTGCTCCATCCTCAGTGCTCCATCCTCACAGTGCCCCATCCTCACAGTGCTCCATCCTCACAGTGCACCATCCTCAGTGCTCTATCCTCACAGTGCCCCATCCTCACAGTGCCCCATCCTCACAGTACTCCATCCTCAGTGCTCCATCCTCACAGTGCTCCATCCTCAGTGCTCCATCCTCACAGTGCTCCATCCTCATGGTGCTCCATCCACACAGTGCTCCATCCTCAGTGCTCCATCCTCACAGTGCTCCATCCTCACAGTGCTCCATCCTCACAGTGCTCCATCCTCACAGTGCTCCATCCTCACAGTGCTCCATCATCACAGTGCTCCATCCTCACAGTGCTCCATCCACATACTGTTGTATGTAGGAGCAAGTGTGGGAACAGGTGTGCACCAACTCTGTGTGTCCACAGATGTGCTACACTGGTTTGAACACAGACCTCCTGCATGCTAGACAGAACTGTACACGGTGGCCTGTCTCAAGTCACCTTTCCATAGATACTCTAGGGACAGGGCCATGCCTCTGGCTTTTATTTTCTCCACAGCACCTAGGTGCAGGTCAGCCTCCCAGCTAGTAACTGCCAGCCAAATGTAACAATGAATCTGACCTCAGGAATTGTTATCAGATATCAGGTCCGACCTGCTGCACTCCGATAATAGTGGTCCCCAAAGACACCCAAGAGCCAGTTTTCCTTCCCAAAGCATTTCTCAGACTCCCTTATAGAGTCCTGGGCTAGCAGAGCATCAGCTGCCCTTAGATCCCTCATATGATGGACACTGACCGTCCCTCAGCAAGTACCTGTGAATTATTAGAGTTTAAAATTAAGATGCATATTTAAATAGGAAGAATCAGTGTTTGGGGTCGTGTGAGACAGAAGTCTGTCCTCACAGGAGCTCCAGGAATGTCCCTACATCCCAGTTTGATGTCTTCATTGACTGGGCAGCCTCTTGGTCACCCAGTGAGCCCACCCACTCTGCAGTAGGTAGCTCGCCCTATGCATGGCTCCCCCTCACAGCAGCCATCTTTAATTAGAGGCCTTCTCTGTAGAGTGTTACATAAAATCCTTACAAAACAAATCCCATACAATGTCGTTGATGCTGGTCATCGAGGGCAGCTTAGTAAAGTCACACACAGTGAGTAGAGGTAGAGACAGGATTCTGCTGAGTCCTAGCTCCTCCCCAACTCTCTGATTACCTCCTTGGAGCCTCAGGGTTGGTGTGAAGGAGCAAACGACCTCTCTAAGAAGGGCCAGGTCTCAGGCAGCTGTTCTGAGGCCCCCAACACACACACACACACACACACACACACACACACACACACACACAGAGCAGAGGACTACCTGGTCTGGCCTCATTGAGAGAAGACGAATCCTCAAGATACTTGAGGCCCCAGGGAGTGGGGAGGTTTGGTGAGGTGAATGTGTGTGGCAGGGACAGCTTCTTGGAGATGGGGGAGGGGGAATGGGATAAGGAACAGTCAGAGGGAGACTGGGAGGGGTAGAGCAACTGGACCATAAAAAAGATCAAATAATAATAATAATAATAATAATAATAATAATAATAATAATAATAATAAAAGAAGGGCCAGGTCATTAGAGGGACTGTCAAACTATGTTTGCAAACATGTAAAGATATGTAAAGATGTTTATGAAAATCCACGTGGATCTTATGTTCCACCCTGTAACTTGTTGGTGTGAAATTTCTCATTTCCTGAATACGTATATACTGCTGAAGTATGTGCCCTATTGGACACCTGAGTCCTGGGCAGGCGCCTGAATACAATGGACACCCCAGTGCCACCTGCTGGAAGTTCTGGCTCTTCAGTGTTGAGGCTATCTCCTGTGGCCATAGCCTGCGAGGCTTTGCTGGCTTTATCACACACATGTCCCCTCACCTCATCCTGTTCAACACTGTATTTCCTTCTCTCATAAACTAAACTCATATCTGGCTTCATGCATGAGCCCATGAATTGAAGCCTGGGTGACTGGATCTCTGCCCTTCTTTCCTTCCTCCCCACGTCCCCAAAGACCCACCGTATCTACCTGCAAACACTTTCCAAACACTCTGCTTCTGCAATATGGGCACCTTGTTCCCCTTGCCTCCAATAGCCTGAGTCACCCCACCTTCACCACAGGCTCCTGCTTCATTCTATTGTCCTTATGTGTCACATTCCTGTGTAGACAGAATATTCTGCATATTGTATGGATGCAACACCTGTCAATTAAAAAGCCAGTGGCCTATGGCTTAAGCAGGAAATAGAGGTGGGACATCTGGGAAGCAAAAAGGATTCTGGGATAGAGTCAGGCTGGAGAATCACTGGGATGATGTGGTAAGATGTACGCATGGTACCTGAGCACGGGTTACCAGCCATGCGGCAGAATGTAGGCTAGACTAAATGGGATATTTTAGGTTATATCTAGCCAAAGGAGAGTCTAGCTACATGGCTAAGGTATTTGTAAATATATTTTGGGTCTGAGTCTTATTTTTGAGAGCATGGGGCTTGGAGGAAGGACCAGGGCTCAACTTCAACACTCCCGAGCCTGCATGCAATGAGACCCCTAATTTGAGACCCCTCATGAAGTGGTTATGGGATGGGATTGTTTTCGTTTTATAGATGGGGAAGCCGAAGCTCAGATCAGTCGGATGTTTTGACAGGTCTGCATCTGAAAGTACCAGGACAGGACTTTACCCAGGTCAGTCTGTCTGCAGCCACAGTGCCTATGACCTCCAGACCTCAGCTTAGTTTCCTGCAGGAATATCAGGAACTGTGATGTGGTCGCCAAGCTCCTTTATTGCAGAGAAAGAATTTTAACAAGAACAAGTAGACAACTGCCACCTGCTAATGGCCACATGTGATGAAAGTGACACAGTAGGAAGGCCATACCTTAATTCCAATTTAATAGGAAGGGAAGGACACTCCTCTGAAAGGACAGATGATGACCACACATACACACCGGCAGAATTCCATGCAGCCGAGTGTTTGCCAATAGTTGCACCACATAATCGTGGTAAGTTGTGATAAGCTGTCTTGGCTAAGGGTACAGGCATGCTCACCTGCATGTTAGGAGCCAGCTTTCCTGACTGTGTGGCAAAGCCATGCTTACAGACCATGCACTAAGACAAGTACTCTCTGCTGTTCTTTCACAGAAAGCAGTGAGGGCTGAAGACCGGCCTGAGGACCAGGCAGGGCCATGTGAACAGAGAAAGCTCTTAACTATTCCCTGTGCAGCTGCTGGGAGAAAAACCTGCCTGACTTTACCAACAGGGTCTTGAGGCATTCTCTTCAGGACAACATGGGTCATACAAGTTAGCAAATCACCCACAACAAGGGCAGCCATTTCTACCTACAGGATGCCTCTAATCTCCTAAGCGTCCCTTGTGCATTTTCTCCATTTAAAATCACTGCTCTGACAACGATGACCTTTTGTTTTTTGAGACAGGTTCTCTCTATGTAGCTCTGACTATCTTGGAACATACCATGTAGACAAGGCTGGCCTTGAACTCACAGAGCTCTGACTGCCTCTGCTGTTAAGTATGAGTACTGCTATTAAAGGAGTATGCCACCATGCCTGCCCCACTTCTCTAAGACACTGCTCTTAGTTCAAGGTGGCAAAATAAGGTAAACATGAATCTCAGCTTGTGCCAAACTTTCAAACTCCACGTTGGAACATTAAAACTCTGCCATTAGCTGGGCACGGTGGCACACACTTGTGACCCTCAACACGGTAGAGGTAGAGGCAGGGTTAGTGTGAATTAAAGCTCAGCCTGGGCTGCATAATGAGACCTTGTATCACCAAAACAAAATCAAACATACAGAAGCAAAACCCACAATTGTTTCTAGGCAGCCTTCAGTGACCACACCCACCACATGGGCTGTCACTATGCCTCTTCCCTGGACCCCACCACCAGGCCTACTTTGTCATGCAAACGTTGCACTCTGATCACTCATGTTCTTCCTCTTCTTCCTTCCGAGTCTGATGGTCCCTTGCTGTCTGTACATGTCTGGCACACATGCCATACTCTATGCAAGCTTTTAAAGCCATCACAGTGAAGCACCCAGATCTATTTCTCTTCCTGAGGAGAGGCTGTCAGCCACTCCTGTAGGCTGAAGGTTCCACTTGACTGAATAAATGCTTGCTCTCAAGAGACTTTTATCCCACAGTGAGGACTGGCCTAGAGATCACTCCTGAAATCCCCACTGAATTAGATCTCCAGCGTCAGGCATAGGACTGAAGTTTTTAGATACTCCACAAGGTGCTCCTGAAAGGACCTGTGCAAAAGCACCCTGGCAATTATAGCATCACATGTAGGCACTATACCCTTCATACCTGTGTCAATGCTAGTATGTCTTTCCTTTTGAAAGTGTATATATTCTCAGAGCAAGACCAGCAAGCCAGTGAGATTGTCGAGACCATGGCAAGACTTACTTGTGATGTTGCCAGTGTGAAAGCTTGCTGAAAGAATATTAAGAAGAATGCAATGGATCATGGGAATGATAAATTGCTGTGGTCCTAGGAATCGTCACATTAGCTATCACAGCTAGAGTTGTTGCTCTTCATAATGAAGAACAAACTGCTCTATCTGTTAAAGACTGGCGTATGCATTCTCAAGAACTTCGGACTCAACAATGTAAGCTAGGGAAGCAGTTGATGACACAGCCGTATTGAGACAAGCTGTATTGAGACAACATTGGAGATCAATTAGAACTATTAAGTGGGGCTGGAGAGATGGCTCAGTGGTTAAGAACACTGACTGCACTTCCAGAGGTCCTGAGTTCAAATCCCAGCAACCACATGGTGGCTCACAACCATCTGTAATGAGATCTGATGCCCTCTTCCTGTGTGTCTGAAGACAGCTACAGTGTATTCATATGTAATTAATAAATAAATCTTTAAAAAAAGGACTATTAAGCGAACATATGAAATTGAAATGTTGTTGGAGCATTACTTCTTACTGTATTATGCCTTTAAGATCCAGTGATAATAAATGTGATTGGGAGAAGCTTATACTGCATTCATTAGGTCATCCTAACTCTCCTCAAATGAGTTACGATTTGCAGTAAGAAACTACAAAAACATTTTTCAAAGAAGCTGCCCTAACAGGCATGGATGTTATAGAATGTCTTGCAGATGTTGTAGCTTCATTCCATCCCACCAATCATTTTGATAAGTTTCTTGCTTTTGTGATTTTTATAATTATCTTTGTGGTGATAACTTTACTGGCTTTGAAATGTGTGTCTATTTATTTGCATAAAATGCTAGACGACTAGATAGACAAAAGGCCATATTTACTATACAGCTTCATGATTCTATAACAATGGTTGTTATCCCTAACAAGTCTGCTTAAAAGGGGGTGGAGATGTAATATGTATTGTAAAATCTTTATGTCTGACCTTAAGTGAAATGTTTCAGCAAAGCCTTTGCTATGTTTGGATCAATCAGTAGAGAGTGAGAAATTATTATTAGACTGTCTGATCCTTGAAGAAATGTTCTCTCTCTCTGCAAAGTCTACATTTGGTGCTTCATGAGAGCTTACAGGTTTACTAATCTTGGTCCTAAGACACTCCTGGCAAACCTGGAGTTCTTACTTTTGATCATATCTAGCCATGGTCAAAAGGGACTGAGATTTGTGTGGGTTGTCTGTTCTCATGAGCAGTAAACGACAAGATAACTTTGGTAGCTAGAACCTTTCCCAGCCCCAATTAACCTTGTCTGATGTTTCAATAAAGCAACTGGAGTGAGCTAGGTGAGGGTTGATCTTCCCCAAGACGATACAACCCTCTGCCCCTTCGGAAAGTGAAGCCTTAGCGTCTTGGTGAGCTCTCTCTCTACTACAGCACCTATGACCAACATTAATCCATAACTTGTGGTAGCTGGCCAAACTGCAAAACCAACTAACTACGTACTCCCAGGTACTTACGCCTCTGGCATCTGTGGCACTAGAATTGCTAAGCCCATCCAACTACGGAATAATGAAGAAGATGAATACTCCCATCGCCTCCATGCCCTTAGCTATGCCCATATTTTCTTCTTTGGAAGATCCTGAGGATCCTGCCTAGGGCAGTTCTGACTAGTTCCCCTACCGCATCACTCACCCTCAACAGAGCCCGGCTGGCCAGAACCTCAAAGGCTTGTACCACATTGATGTCATTCTTCGCACTAACTTCAAAGTACGGCATATCCTTCTCTTTACACCATCCGTGGGCCACCTCTTGGGGCACCTGAGGGAGAGAAATGATCACTGTTTCTGTACCTATGTTACCACGGCCACTGTCATTGCTGCAGCTGTGGCTTTGGTGTGGGTTGTTCCCTCATGTTGAGATTGCTCTCCACTGTGATAGTGCTAAGAGTAAAGGGGGTGGGGCCTCAAAGAGAGCTAAGGTCAAGGACTAACATGGGGTTAAGAAGATAGCTCAGGGGATAAGAGCGCTCGCTGCCTAAGTATGAGGGTCTGAGTTCAAATCCCTAACACCCCCACAAAAGCTGGGTACGACCATAGATGCCCAGTGTTGTGGGCCAGAGACAGGTGAATCCTGAGAGGTCACCGGCCAGTCAGCCTCACAGAAATGGCAAGCTTTGGGTATAATGACAAATTCTTGTCTCAAGGGAATAAGGACATTCATGATAGAGCAGGACAGCTAATGGCCTCCTTGGCCTCTCTGCACATGCATGGGCATATGCTCCTTTCTCAACATGCACATGTGCACACATGCACACATGTACACATACACACATACACACATGTACATATGCACACATGCACACATACACACATGTACACATACACACATGTACATATGCACACATGCACACATATACACACGTACACATACAAACATGTACATATGCACACATACACACATGCACACATACACACATGTACACATACACACATGTACATATGCACACACGTACACATATACACATGTACACATGCACACATGTGCCTATGCACACATACACACATGTACATATGCACACATGCACACATACACACATGTACATATGCACACATGCACACATATACACACGTACACATACAAACATGTACATATGCACACATACACACATGCACACATGCACACATGCATACATACACACATGTACACATACACAATGTACACATACACACATATACACATGCACACATATACACACGTACACATACACACATGTACATATGCACACATGTACACATACACACATACACACATGTACATATGTACACATGTACACATACACACATGTACACATACACACATGTACACATACACACATGTACACATGCACACATACACACATGTAGATATGCACACATGCATACATACACACATGCACAAATGCCTGTCTCTTACACATGCACATGCATTTTAAGAAGAAAGGATAAAAAGGGGTCAGCACCAAAGGGACTAAGTCTCCCTTTTGTGGGACTGAGAGTGGTTTGTCAGAGAGTGAGGCCACCCTCATGTTTTGACACCCCCCCCCATACTCTTCCAGATCTGTGTTTGGTTCCCAGCACCCACACGGCAGCCCAGTTACTGACTATAACTCTAGTTCCAGGGGATCCGATGTCCTCTTCTGGCCTCTTCAGGCACTGCACGCATATGGTGCACTTACACGCATCTAAGCAAAGTATTCATATACATAAAATAAACAGAAATAAAGCTGTCAAAGAATTGGCTTATCTGAAACTATTTCGTAAACCTCCAAGAATAACAAAAACTATTTTAGAAAACACCATTCTGATTCCAGTTGGTTGTAGGTCAGAACTCACCCCCTGGGCTTGGAGCAAAGCAATAAAACTCCCGAGAATAGGTTCCTTGCAGCTCAAATGTTACAGTCCCTTTCTCATGAACTAAGATTTTCTCACTGTTGGCTTCTGCAGGAGGGGTTTTCAAACAAATGTGAGCCTGTAACTTCTTTAAAATCTTTCTGGCTGTATGCACATGCTGGTATATGTATGTGTGTATTTCTCATAGTAAAATACACACCACATAAAAGCTAACAGTGTAGTCTCATTTAAGCATATAACTCAGGGCGTTATGTATATGCCTGCTCTTGAGTGACTGTCATCACTACTCGGGTTCAAAGTTTCCTCCTCCCCAAATCTAGCAAAATACTTTTAAATAATTACATTTCCTTAATTAAATAGGAAAAACTACCAGGCTTGTCCTTTAGTGGTATTAAGGAGGATACAATTACATCATTTCCCTTAATTCTCAAATAGTCTAGGGAAACCCATCTTCTGGTTGCCATGGCAGAGAAGATGTTGGAGTGGACCCAGGGCATGCAGGCAGCATGGTGGACCATGAGTGGCTGGCTCAGCTAGGGTACAGAAAGGAACGGTGCCTGCCCCCTCAGCTCTGTGCTGTGACTGCAAGTTCCCTCAATACAGTCATTTGACTACTCTTCATTTCTCTCATCCCAAACAGGGGTTGACAAACTCTTTGCTAAGTCAGCACCAGAGTGAAGCGAGCTGAGGGCAGGCACTGCCCTGCTCAGTTCTTGGCTTTAACAATATCCATAGTGTGTCAAGTCTCTCTTCATTCATTTCCCACTTCCTCTTCCACGCTTCTCTGAACTCATTTCATTATTGTTCAGCACGTCTGCTTCCTACTAGGCCACCTCCCTCCAAGCCCTCCCTCTGGGCCTTTCTTGCTGACAGACAGACTTTCTTTATCTTCCCCAAACCATCTTTTGTCCGCCCCATTTGGTGACCGTGGCTTTTTCCTGGGTCTCCGTCTCCCTTTTACCCTCTCCATTGTGGCCATTCCCACATCTGCCTCTCCACAGATGACGGAGGGGTTTGGCTTGCCTGGTGCCTCATTACTTCTTCCAGTCCCTTCTCCTTCTCTAAATCAAAGCTCACCCCCTTGGTGATTGGCTCAGACCTATCCATCACCTACTCTACATCCAGCCAGGCATCCATCATTCATTGACCATTTGCAATCTGTTTCTTCTATAGGCACAAGGCTGCCACTACTCAAAGTAGACAGAATGTTTTGTGTGGAGAGCTTTTGGGGCTGCTTGACAGGAATCTGACATTGGCCAAGGACAAGGAAATGGGCTTCAGGCAGGAATCTGACATTAGGCCTTGACAGACAAGGAAGTAAGTTCAGGCAGGAATCTAATTTTAGGCTAAAACAGAGAATTAATTTCAGTCAGGAATCTAAGTCTTAGGCTAAAACAAAGAAGTAGGCCTCAGGCATGAATATGACTGTGGGCTAGGACAGGGAAGTAGGCTCTGATATTTTTGCCATTCTGATGAGTCCTTAGAAACAGTGATCATGACAGTGATCACAGGAGTGATCATGGGACTTTGCTTATTGTCTTGCTTGTTCCTTGACTATTTGCATTTACTGTATTGCTAGTCCCTCAACTTAGAACTGACCCGAATACTTGCATGTAATTAAAGTGATCTAAAAGCAAATTAGGAAAAAATAAACCTGCCTCAGCCTTCAGCTTCAGAACTGGCTGGGGTCATGCTGCAAAATGGTCTAATCGTCACTTTTAATCCTCACTCCTGTGCTGGAGAACCTGTTGATCGACTGAGCTGGCTTAGTCAGTTTTGCTCTGTTATAAACCTCTCCACTTTTCCATCTTCTCCACAGAATCAGATCCAAACACAAAGCTGGCCTTCCTCTCTTCGACCACAGTTTTCCTCTCTGTTCAACTCCTGCACACCCATCCTACTCTGCTCTCTAATGTCTGATGCTCCAACTGTCCCACCCCATTTCTTAGGTTTCCTCAGAGCCCTCCCACCCTTTGATGCTCTTGCTTGGAAAAGCTTCAGTCCCAGGTCCCTACATGTACAAGCACGTACTCTAGCAGGTCTGTTGAAACACCCTCCACAGATACCACCTCAAGCTCACAGCCTCCTCCTTTAGCTGAGCCCTTCATGTTTTGTCAGTTCTTGTCCTTGTCTTCCACCAGCTCCTCCTCTGGTGTTTGGATTTAATTACCCAAGTAATCAGAATCCAACCCTAAATTGTATTATAATTTGGAATCTATAAAAGCTAGAGAGATTCTAAATAGCCAACCTTTACCAAGATTCTTAAGCCTCCTTTTTGACTTCTTTACTCACTGGAGGGTGGTACCCCTTACTTCATTGAGAAAACTCTTTCCTCCTTCTCTTGAACTCCCTCAACTTGACACACAGGCATATGAAAGGAGATGTTAAAGTGGGTGTTGGATCTCAGTATTGTAATTTGATAGACTTCGGGTGTGCAGTGGGGGTGGCCGTAGTAAGATCATGTGTATTTCCAAGGGCTCATGATGAAGAGTCCCTTAGATAACACCAATGCCCACAGCATGAACACAAAAGGCTTGGAAGGAAGGATTGGGTAAGATTCCTTGGAGAAAGCTATGTTGTAAGTAGAGTTACTCCAACCTCCCACAGGAGTTGGAAGAGGGCCTTGAGGTGGGTTGCTAGCTATGGCCTCTGGAGCTTGGTGGACATGAAAGACTGGGGTCTGCATATTCCTGAGGGTTCTAAGGTGAAAGATCATGAGGTGGAGAGAGAACTGGCTCCTTAGAACATGGTCAGAAGGCATGAGTGTGTTCCACAGAGGAACAGCAAGGTTGGAATTCCTAAAAGGACTGATTGGAGTAATTCCTGAAGTAAGAAAGCAGGAGCGCGCACAATGTATACCGTTGAGTGCAATGAAATGTCACCACTTAGCGAGTCTGAAGGACCCAAAGGAATGGCTTCCAGAAGAGGAACTTTACCACACATGGCAGGCCTGAAAACATAAAGCTACATCATGAGAGACCCACAAAACAAGAACTATCCCACTCCCTGACCACTTCTCCTTCCTCCTACTTCCTGCTTCACTCCAGACAGGACTATACCCCAGAGCTCCTATCTGACCTAAGCAGGTGGGGATTGAGGACTTGGAAAGCTAACAATGAAGCTGTCACTATCGCTGGCCCAGTGAGGAAAGAAACAGAGACTTGGATTACTGTCTGAGACAGGATGTCTGACTGACACTGAGTCTCCAACCTGAACTGACCACACAGAGCTGAAGACATGTTCTCAGCACCCACTTCTCTCCTAAAGTTTTGTTCTTAGGTATGCCAAAACTTGCAGGTTCCCTAGCTGCTTGAGATTGTTCTCCACACTTCTCAGATTCTAGACACTCAGACTAAAGATGTCCTCTCTGAACAAGGATCTTGCCTCTTTGCAGGTGGGGGCAGTTGGAAGCATGCCTTCTGTCTCTCTCCCGTCTCCTGTCCACTGCATACTTCATGGTACTAAGTTTTGGGTCAGTTCTCCTGAGGTTTTCTGTTTGAAGCACTGTGAAAACAGTTCAGATGCAATGACTCTGTTTCCCATCATGGTTTTCCATGAGAAATACTGAGAGAATGTGGTTCTAACAGCTCCTTTGGGTATTATTCGGGCTTCAAACAGTACAAAATACCTTCATGCTATGCTTTACAAATCAAGACAATTGCTATTCCTTTTCTGCGTGCAAGTTAAAGAACTTACCACTCAACAGTCCTGTGATGGCTATAACCTACACAAGTGGATGGCCACTGCAGTTATAGGGTAGACCAATTGTCAAAGGGTTCATTGGCTATCCTGGGTATGCATAACTTAGTGAGAAATGATTAGCTGCCTAGTAAACTTGTAGATCAAAGAACTGGTACCTTTCGATACCTGCGTGACTCCAGGCAAAAAATACTGTTTGAAGATGAAATCAAATTCCACCAAGATCTGACTCCTGGCTCCTCTGAGGTCTTAACTCTCCAGCTCCCTGTACCCATGCTTTCAGTTCAGATCATACTGCTTCTATAGCCTAGAACCCACTTCTTCTAGGATGCTAGCTCTCTATTCTGGACTTAGATAGCCTTTCACTGTGATCTCCAAATCTCCAAAGTATATAACTATCATTGCGTTTACCACGTTGTATCGTAATTGTCACTATTAGACTGTAGATTTCTTGAGGCAAGGACTCTGTCAGCACTGTATGTGAGACCCAACACAACATGAGGTATACAGTTGTTACATACAGTTTGTTGAGTAAATGAATGAATGAATGAATGAATGAATGAATGAAAAGTACCTTCCTATCTTCCAGATCTATTTTGTTCCCCAGCACCACCATGGGATATGACTGCTCCATAGGGATGATCTTTGCCAGGACATCCTCCCTCCAGATATCCAGGGCTTCAAAGGACTCTGGGTCAGTGACATCAAATGCCAGGATACAGCCGTCGGAACCTTTGTAGAATGTTGATACCATTGAGCGGAAGCGCTCTTGACCACCTGTGTCCCAGATCTGGCGGGGGAAAAGCAGTGACCACAGGGCTCTGATGAGTGGCTGAAGGGAAGCCCAGTAAGGTTGTATCATGCCAAAGCCTTCATTTCTGGATGGGGGAAATCCTGGTATAAGTGTGCCCTTCCACACCCAGGCACTGCACTCTTACCCCTGCTCTACCCCCAACTCTACCACAGCTCTTAGCTCTTGTTATTGCTCTAGTTTATGAGGGTAGGGGTTGTTAGCCCAGCTCCCAACAGTAGATACATTTTGGGCTTTATAGTTCATCTGTCCTAGTTATACTGTTCACTTCTGCTATAGTTGATAAGCAAGTGGGTGTGCCTGTGCTCCAATGAAGTGACTAGGGTTAGCCCAGGCTAGCCCATGTATTTTGCTGATCTCTCTCCAGATCCTCTGAGCTTCTGGTACGTGATGCTGTGTGTGTGTGGGGGGGTGACTTTCAGGTGTGTGTGTAATAAAGAGGCAGGGGACACTGCTCACCTGTAGCTTCAAAGTCGTGTCATCCAGTATGATAATTTTGGAGAGGATGCTGGCCCCCAGTGTGGTCTGGTATTCTTCGAAAAATGTTTGGTGAACATATTGGTGAAGGAGAGAGGTCTTTCCTACTCTGAAGAAAAAAATCCACACATGTATAAACACATATTTATAAATACACACACACACACACACACACACACACACACACACACACACACACACCTATGCTATTCTCAGGATGCTACCATCCCCTTTGCACTGAAGTCTCTTCTTTCTTTCTTTCTTTCTTTCTTTCTTTCTTTCTTTCTTTCTTTCTTTCTTTCCCTCTTTAGTTCTTATTCTTTTTTCCTTTTCCTAGTTTAAGATTTGATACATGAGCTGCTCCTGGTAGGGACAGACACAGAAGAACAACAGTGCATACCTCAGGTTGGGCTCAGGCTGCTCAGAGACTTGCCCATATTCTGAATTTCTAGTTTTGATGGTTAGAGACCACCCTTTGGGGAGCAAAGGATATGAAATAGTTTCTAGAAGCAGAAACCAATCAAAACGAGCAATCTGGGATACGGTTAGGTATCCCACAACAGTGTGTAGATTTGGGTTGGGTATAGCAGGACACGGGAGGACACCGAGATGCAGAAGGGCTATAGAGCCAGCTACTACATAGCTGGACCCAAACCAAGAACTTTTTGCTAGCTACTCTCAGCTAAGCTTGCTGTCACTCTGACTCAGACAGGGACCCCTGGAGGTGGGAACACAGCCTGGAGCACAGTCTTAACACTCCCAGGTGAGGCTCTTCTCCAATGAACACCTAGCAGCCAGGCTTGGCTTACCCAAGTGCACCAACAATGATAAGTTTCAAGTCCACTTTCTTTCGGGGATTCATGAGGGGCTTCAGGGCCTGCGGGGAAACAGAAGTCATGTTCACACTGGCCAGTCTTGCTTGTAACCATTGTCACAGAGGCTAACCCTCCCATACTCAGTCACTGCAGCCCTCCCTCAAGTGTCCTCCACTACATCCTAGCAATAGCATTTAGCATCCCGTGAGCTCTGTTTTCCTCTGCTTTACCAGGATCTTGCTGAGGACTCTAGTCCTGAAGTGCACACATGTCTCAGCACCCTGTACACCCCTCCCTTGACTTTCCCTTGCCAAAGTTCCAAGATGGACAACTCACTCACCCTCTAGCTCTTCCAGTGCTGCTCTAGGAGGTAAGCCCAGAGTGCCAAACAGCAGGACAGATCTGAACAGAGACCTTACACAACACAGCCTAGAACCACGAACAGAGGCCAGCGTGGGGAGAGCGGATGGGCTGGGCAGGACAAGGGACTCATTGTTACGACTGCCTGGAGGCTTTGGATGGACAAGAAACCCTCCCCCAGCCACAGTGTGTGGCACTTGCCAATCACAGACTCTTTGCTGCAGCTGGAAGCGGGTGAAATCAGTACATGTTACTAGAAAGCGACTTGGCAGCATGTGCGGTGAGCCTCAAAATAGCTCGGACCTCCTCGTCTAGCAATTTTTCTACAGAAATCTCCAGAAACTTGAGCAAATACTTTTTACTTCCTTTCCAGCATTTTATTGATTCTTCGTGAATTTTACATCGTGTACTCCAATTTCACCCATCTCTCCCATCCCTTTGTATCCACCCTCTGTCCCTGCAACCTATCCTGCAAAAGAAAAGAAAATAGAACAAAAAAGAAAATGGTATCGTGGAAGCTGCAGTGTGTCACAGTGTGTCCCACAGTATAGCCTTTTGTCCACATATCTTTACTTACAAATGTTCATTGGAACTTGTCGTTGGTCTATTCTGAGGCCTCTGGCTTCTGCTATGCTATCTATATGTGATCCTCACAGGACTCCTCTCAGATATCCTGTTGTCACCCTGGCTTACAGAGATCCTGCAGATTTAGATCTGCAGGACTGGCCCTGTCACATGCTCCAGCAGATCATAGATGGGGTGGATGTTGGGGTTGGCCAACTCAAAGGCCTGGATCTGGTCCTGGGAGGTAGGTAAGTTGGTCATCCTGCCAACTCTCCTGTGCCAGAACCACCAGGGCAAACTCTCCAGCACTGTTCCAACTCGTTCACCCAATGGCACAGCCAGTAAGGGACAGTAAGGGTCCGCTCTCCTGTGCTCACTCCCTTAGGGCAGTTCATCTGCGTACATACTACCAGGGTCAGCTCTACCGTACTTCCCAGGTAAGGTGCAAGGCCTGCTCTCCTGAGTACTGAAGTCAACCATGGGCCTAGCTCTTCCACTCTTATGACCTTGGAGTTGTTCATCAGCTCCCCTGATGTTAGGGTCAGCTCTATTGTGCTGCCTAGGTGAGGGGTAAGGTGAGCATGGTGCCTCAGGAAGTCTTAACCAGAGGCATCTGCATGGCCTTTGGTGATAACACAGGCCTGGAATGTCAACACAGACTCTGGCTACCATAGGACCATGGACCCAGACATGATCCTTGGTGGCAGCCAGAGCCAGGACCTCACCATGGCCTCCTCATGTCTGCCTGTTCCTCACTGTTGTTGAGAACAAAGACTTTTATTTGTTAAGACTGTCCTTCCAGTATTGCTTATAAATACCCAACAGTGATGAGGTACTTAGGCTAGGACACATGAGGATGACTTTTTTAGTAGTCATTGGAGTAGAGTATTTGGGTTTTTTAATTATATGTGGGGGAAAGTTCATGATCTATGGTCTGAGTGAAAAGTTGGTGCTAAATTAAGTCTGTAAGATCATCTAAGTGTCAACTAATATCATAATTGCACTTTTTTTTCAATATTGGAGATTGAATCCAGGGCTTTGCGAATGCTGGGCAAGCACCATATGCAGAGATCCCATGAAATACAAAATGTATACATTGTAAAATAGTTAAATCCAGTTAATTAATATATGTTCTACTGAGCATAAACAAATGTACCCCTTTCCCATGAAGAGAGTATGTGAAAGTCCTGGACTTGGCACTGGGAGCACCTAAGATGAAACACAAAGGACTTCCCCTAGGAAACAGCAGGGAAGAAGGAACAGGGATTGAATAACACTAGACAGTGGTGCTGACAACATGGCAGGCCTGACAAAGTGAGGCATGTGGTGTGGGGGATGATATTTCCTAGGAGAGAGATAAATAAAATTCTGGGGATGGAGTTATGGAAAAGGTAATTGATTTGCTTCTGAAGCAAGATTGATGTGGATTATGACTCTCACATCCCATCCATCCATCCATCCATCCATCCATCCATCCATCCATCCATCCATCCATC